TTCAGCAAATATAATTGAAGGCAAATATAGACATTACCTCATTTATAATTTGTTTAAATGATTGCTCTTCAGCAAGGCCATTTTTCAATGATTTCAAAACCATGTATTTCTTGTAGTGAGTATTGTATGCCTTATAAACTGTTCCAAATGAACCATCTCCAATTTTATTAATATCATTAAATACTTTATATTGATGAAATTTCAAATGCTGTTTTTTAATTGCTTTATCAATCCACTTGCTCATTTTTTTATCTTTATCTTTAACAATTATTATTAACAATTATTAATAAGGCATAAAAAAAAATTTAATTTTGGAATAGAACTTTTTTGTCCGATCCGATATAAATATTTCGAAAATCTTTATTAATTAATTTTTTTTGAAAATCTTATTTATTTTTGTCAAACGCACTACCTACAAAAAATTAGATCTTCTACAGTCCGTTTTATAACTATGCAAGTATGCAAATTGCATATTGCAATTTTGAATTTTGCAAACTGCAATTGCAAATTACATATTGCAAAGGCTTGTCTAAACTTTTGGTAAACTGAATTTTTGGGGAAGGATGAGAGCAAAATTGAAATACAAAACATTGTGGTGAACAAATTTTTTTGTGTTGACATGCATGATTCATTAAATCAAAACTGAAATTTATAAATTCATAAATTTATTGTTGCATATAAATAATATTAATAAATAAATATTAATAATACATAATTACAAAGAAAGAATTTAATAATGTTACCAGAATTAGGATTTAACGCTAATTTGTTAGTCGAAATACCCTAATTCCGAACCGAGCCTTTTATTTTTTATTTTTACTTTATTTTTATTTTATTTTTATTCATATTTATTTACATTTTTATTATTTTATTTGTACAGTCTACTCTCTCTATAACGGCCATCTCTATAACGACTACTAAGTAAAATTTCTCTATAATGAACTTCCTTTTTGTCCCCGTTTCAATTTTTTATAATTAATTTCTCTCTCTATAACGATCAAAAGCAGAGAAATTACATATAGGGACAGAGGGTTCGTTATAGAGAGAGTGAATTGTATTACTATTACATTTTTATTTTTATTCGTATAACGTCGAAATTAGTTGACTTTATTTAGAAATTAGCATCGCGGCTAGAATGTTAGATTGCAATGAAGTTGTTAATAATTAATTTAATTGTATAAAAGAAGCTCAAATTCGACTTGCTTGTAAAATAACTTTGTCTTAGTTTTAATAACTTTCTAACAAGTTAATTAGTTTCGACTAAGGAAATAACTTTCTGATAAGTTAATAAATTAGTTTCGACTAAGGAAAACTTTGTCATAATAAAATAGTGCGATGACAAGATTCATCCTATTAGGGACCGAAAATAAATTGGAAGCCCCAAAAGCTGGAGCGGTTTATATTCTGCACCAATGTACTCAATTTATGTCCCAATTAGGTCTTCCACTATCTTTGGATAGATTGTCTTAATAAAATTTTCTGTGTAATGCACAAAAGCTAATCCGTAAGATGTTTTAGCAGGCTTTGGTAAAAATGTAGATGCTGGTCTTCCTAGCTAAGAAGAAGATAAATTATCTTTGACACGTGAATTAGCATTTAGAAATTATCATATATCATTTAAATTTATTATTTTTTAATTAATTATATTTTCTCCTTTTTGCAATATTTTCATTTTGTCAATTTCGTTAAATGTGACGAAAGTTAATAAAAATTTGACGAAATAATTTCCCGCCCAATGATTATTTTTTTAGTGTATTATACCCAATTCAAATGTAATAAAAAATATCGACAGTTACCTCAACATTTTTCATTCTTTTTTTGATATTTGGTCCATTAATTAAATGTTTTGGACATTTTTATCCAATAAGTAAGTGCAAATTGCAACAATAAATGATTTGTCGTCTTTTGTTGGATTACAAGGAAACACTCTTGAAATGAACTTTCCCGCCTTGGCCAGCACAAGCAAGGTTACCATTCAAAGAGAAACGTCTTATTTTGAAGTTTATGGTAAGAGAGCATCAAAGGAATCAATTCCTCTTTAGAATTCATTTGCTCTGACTGCTCGTAATAAAACTCAAGGCTCGACACTGCCACATGTGATATTGAACGTCGACGAAAGCATGTTTGCTGAAGGACAAGTGTATATTGCAACGAGTCGAGCTCCCTCATTGGAGAAACTTCAGATCCTTTGATTTGATTATTCTCAAATAAAAATTTCCAGGGCGGCTTTAGAAGAGCATAAAAGATTAGAGGCTGTGAGCATTGATCGGTTGCGAAAACTAAAAATTAATTATGATGGATACACAAACTCACTCAAAATATTAAAGTTCACGTATAACAATCATCATTGTTTTACAATTACCTTATTGTGAAAAAAAAAACATATTAGGAAATCTCTATGTGTGAATAAAAATTTTGACTTTGCAATCAGGAAGGAAAAATAATTTTTACTTGAAATTTCATTTTGCGTAGTTTTAGTGTTATTATTATTATTACTTTGACGATGCAATTTATTTATTTGTTAATCCTTTATAAATTAGGGGTTGGAACTGGCTAAAAAAACCTTAACTGGTTAATTAATTATATAAAAAATTTTTTTTAAATATTTATTTTGTCAAAAAATTTAAGCGGAAAATAAAAATTACATTATTCCATGTTTTACAAAAAATGTGGGATTTAATAATTTACTGAATTACAATGCTCCAAAGGCTTCGATGAGTAGTAAATCAATTTAGTTGTAACTCTCGACCCTCTTACATTCGTTTATCTATAATGTGGATGTGACTTCATTTCACCTACTGAAACAAAAAATTACAATTAAAGCGGGACGTTTTGTCATTTTAAATTTCTACAAAAAAAACCGATTCAGGATTCTGACCACTAATTAATTTTCCTATCAATTAATTAAGAATGATCTGCATATTATTTAAAGATACGAGATCAAAACTGTCAATTAGATCAAACATTAGTTACACGAATAAAACTTAATTCAAAAGAAACCCTTTGTTTCATTTTTTCTTCCAATAAGCAAATAGGGCCAGATACTTTCACCAATTATAATCTTTAAAAACAGGTTCGGTCAAATGACCTCGGAGACGGTTTTTCTGGAAAAAGTCCCATATATCATCAGATACTCGGAGCATGCAAAGTAAGATTTATATTTGATTATTCGAATAATAATAATAATAATAATAATAATAATATATAATTAACCCTAAATATATTTTCTTGTAGGATATCAATTTCTTTAATTTGACGACTCCAATAAAATGAATCATATATGTGCGTCTAAATTGTTTTATATAGGATGTGTCTAAAGTCAAAATAAACGCCTAATAAACAAAAGATCTTTAAGAAATCTAAGACGCATTATTTAATCAAATTTAAATATCTGTGTATGTAACAGTCGAATTAGACAGACATTGTTTGTTTTTTTTTCGGAAAAGTCAACATAAACACAAGAAATTAAGAAATGTAAATTTAATTTTCCTGTCTTTTTTATTTTTTTTAAAATGACAGGCAAAGATGTAAAAAAGAAAGTAAGAAAAGTAAAAGAAGGTGGATATAACAAAAATCCGTGTGGAAAATGCAAAAAGAAAAGACAGAAATGTGAACTCTCATGCCCCGGACGTAAAAATAACAGTTCTGAATTCGGTAAGAATTTACAAATATAAATATAAATATAAATATAAATATAAATATAAATATAATTTTTTGCATATTTCTAATTAGCATCAATTATATTTTATTTTTTTTAAAAAAAAAAGATGAAGAAATGAAAAGCCATGTTTTAAATGGCAAAAAAAACATGTGTTTTTCAAAACCTGCACCTACAAATGGAACTGGAGATGTATTCCAAGGATATCCCACCGATTTTGGAAAAGGATATTCCTATTCTGAGAACAATCTATCAAGTGAAGATTTTCTACAGGATACCTTTACTTATCAAATGATGGAAGGAATTACCACTCCATGTGTTTCAAACGAAGATTTTCTAAAGGATACCTTTACTTATCAAATAATAAAAGGAATCGACATTCCATATAATTTAATTCCGTGGTTCGAATTTAATATCGAATTTAATAATTCATAGCATTATATATAGACATTATTTATTATATGTATTTTTTATATAAAAAAATGTATTTACTTATTATTACAAAAGTGTTGAGGGCGGGAACATATCAAATAAACTTATTATATAACAACTAGAATGATAATTTTCATTAAAGGTTATGATGGCAACTATTGGAAGACTAATATATTAATGTGTAAAAAATCCAATTATTATTACTATTTGTTTTTTTATTGACTATTGTACTAGGATTAATATATAAATATTCCTGATGGCGTATCTACTGGCGGAATTTGGAATTGGGACAAGGACAACGATTTATCTCAGCTTGCATCAGAATTGGTATTTTTTTTTATTTTTTCTAGACAAAAATCAAATATTCTCCGAATTTTTGAAATTCATGATATAATTTGTCATGCCACACGTTGCAAAAATAATTATAACTTTTTCGTCATTGATTACAGAATAATCAGATTAGAAAAAATATCATATTTGCATGTTATGTTGATATTTGGAATATTCATAGCTGTCTTCATGCATACACATCACCAACTTCGATTGTATTTACATTGTCGGCAAGTAATGATTTGTCTTTCCTCACTATAATTCATTGATCCTTATTTACTTATAATATTCCTTCAATTTTCTTTGTAAATATATAGTTTTCCACGATTTGAATTAATTAAAAAAAGCTTTCCAAAAACCCAAATGATATCCTTATATTTGAAAAATCTGGCTTACTGGACTATTTTGATCTTGGTGCTCCGGTCGACACTACTAAAACGGAAGTAAAGGAAAAAGAATACTAAAAAAAAAATCTGTAAATGTCAAGGCAGGAAAAGAGATCTTGGTAAGGAAGAACCAAAAGATTTTTCAAGATAGCATCCAAAGAATAAAAATGCCTGCATATCAAAATTTTTCATCCAAACACCATTTTGGGTGAGAAATCTGTATTAAAACCAACAAGGAGATACATTATATTCCAAGAGATGTAAGTTTATATTGTATTATTTAATAATTTGAAATTAAAAAAAAACATCGAACAATATAATGAGCCTTTAGTACCTCTGTATCTTGCTAAAATATATATTTTATATTTCCAATCCGTCCATATGCACAATTTTAGCGATCTAATACATACATTAATCCTACTCCTGCGGCATCAGCTGTGGTTGTAAGAGAAATGGTATCAACAAGCTCTTCTAAATCATATAATTGTCACAACTATCGTGATCATTCTTTTATTAAAAAAGTAAATTGACAAAATGAGTTATAAAACTAATACACAGAAATTTCCTAAAAGCCTATTTATTCTTCTTCTGTAGTTCCAGGGCCCGAAAACTATACATAGGTTACTGCCACAGCCGAGTCAATTCTTAAAAATTTACTCGATGCCATTATCATAAATTCTTAATTTTTCAAAAAGAATCGTGCGCCCACATTGTTGTTATTACTATCACTGTTACTATCATTAAATTTGAATAAAAAAACCTATATACTGTATATGTTCGACAAGTATAAATGTCAAGTATTTTCTGCCAAATTCGAATTTTATAATTATTGATTAAGATTTTAACAGTTATAACGTTCTAAATAATTACTGCAATCATTGTAAGCAATATTTATATAAAAATTGCTGATGTTTTTTTCTTAAAAAGACCAGAAAAGGAAAAGAAAAGTTCACCGAAGAAGGAGATACAGAAAAACCAAATTCCAAAGAGGATAATGAAAAAGTAGCAGTAATAAGGATTAAACATCAATTAGAAAATTTATAATTTCCGTATCCAAGATTTCATGCAAAATAACTTTAAAACAAACTTTTTTCATAAATATCCTTTTTTGTGTTTAAATCCTATGTGCATTATTAGAAATTATTTATAATAAATGTGGGGAAAGAGAAAGAAGAGGTTATCTTTTTTCAAAAAATCTAAATGGCCGTGTAACCAAAACCAAAACAATAGACTAAATCAAGAAGTTCATTTTGAATGGTAACCAAGGCTAGCTATATTAATATCAGATAATTGTCAAAGGGAAACATTAATTGTATTCAGTATTTAAATGTGGCTTTTTTCGTTTATCTCTAATGGAAACATAAACTTTGAAAAGAAATCTTTCAAAGAACAAAAAATGCTCATACAAAATTACCAAAAAAGAATGTAGTAATAATTTTACTCACATGTTTAGAAACTAAAATTTGACTTGCTGTTTTTTGAACAATTTCAATACACATGAATAAAAACAAAAACACCAATAATTTATTACTACAAACAAATTTTTTTTTATCGTGCTCTAACTATTTATGCTAGAAATCCTGCTACAGAGCAGAATTGCAAAGACCACAAACGATGAGATGTTAAATGAACTGGAATCCTGGAGGTTATCTACTACTAATGATTCATATAACCCAATTTCTCTCAATTGTGCTTATTGGGAACAAATTTATGACTATGCTCACCTGGTGCATATAATTAAGTCAATTTTGTGTTAAAGCACATTTTGAATCATCATATGCTTTTCTGATTATCTTTTTTATAATTAATAATTAATAATGTATATCACTTATTATTTGGAAACATCTGTTCTTGTTTTAATCTTGATTGAATTTGATTGTGTAATAATTACAATCACAAGTGACGTGATTGAGAAAATAAAGTGGTCATACTGCAACGAAACCACAATGGCACAAAGTAATTTGAAATTAAAAATCTAGCGGATGTAATAATTCTAATAGCACTCAAAAGGTTGCACGAAGCCTTCTCCAAAACATATTCTTGACTTCCCAGTGAATGGTGGAACATGTATGAGCGTACAGAGAAACTCAACCCGATTAAAGAACCCTCGACCACCGGAACCATAACACTCCTCTTTGTAATCACAATATGTTGGGAATGGTTGGACTTGTTTTGAAAATGTTTCAAAAAAAAACAGGGTTCGGATTTCTAGATTTTTTTTAATTAATATATTTTAAATTTAAACTTAAATTTTTTAAGTTGACAAAGAATCTAGAACTATGATCGTAATGCAAGTTATGCAGAATAATAATAATGCACAGCACGAACGGAAAATTGAATTCCTGTGGGCAAAATGTTTACACATATATTCGGTTAAATCTTGTTTCAAACTAGGATAAATACCAGATACTTGCGTATGCATGTTGACGAAAATTGAATTTATTTATAAAGTTACATGACATGACTATTATTTATCGCCAAAAAAAGTAAGACTCAACTTTTTCTCAAATACAAAAGATTTTTTCAAGCTTCATTAAAGAATAAAAACGAAAGATTATGTCTCCCCATCTAATATCTAAGAATATTGTGTACGATCCAACAAAAAATTATTTATTATATACTATTTATATAAATAAAATCTATATAAAATAAATAAATCCATTAAAAGAATGGGTGAAATTATTTTTTATTTCTCCAAAAAAAAAGAGAAATGTTTTATAACCACCAGAGAGTAAGAATGGAAAGGAATTCATCAATTCAATTCCATCTTCTTCTGCTGATGGTATCTTTAATGCTGTTATCATGTAATAAAGTAGAAACTCGACTTTTAGATGGTAGCGATAATAATCAAAATAATCCAGCTTCGGGTACTCCGCAACAAAATTTTCAAGCGAAATATCCTCCTGAACCTTTTTTTGGGTAATTATATTGTTTTAGTGCCGTTATCAAATGATCAATTAATGAGTTGGGTGCTTTTCTTTCATGAAAAATATTAGTCCAGACGGTGATTCGATGATAAAATGTCCTTCTGACATTATTAACGACGCTGACCTAACACAAAAACCACCTAATTGTGCAGATCCACTACCACCTGATACTTATCCAATGCCAAGATGTATTTCTAACATTTTAGCAAATTATCGTTTGGGCAAGTTTGATATTGGGAAAGCAATGAGTTATCGATCTAAAAGACGAACTAGTCATTTGGTGAAAAATCTTCTTTTTAACAATTGTTTATTCTCGAATTTGACTTTTTTGAATTGGCTAACTTTTCGTTTGGTTTTCTTTCTAGACTACTTTTTTTGCTGAATTTGTTGGTTATGATCTTATCAGTTCATCAAATAATGTTAAATCAGATCATCAACTGTATATACCATCTGATGACAAAACGTATAATTCATATTCATATAGTTCATTACCAGGTCAATTAAGCGATCTTAGGTTTTTACCTTTTAATCGATCAGATTTTCTTAATACTACTACACAAAAATCCAAGCGCACTAGTTACAATAATTTAACTCCTTTTCTGGACTTGAGTCCTATTTATGGTGTCACTGCTGAAAATGCAAAAAGTCTTCGTGAGGGTAATAGAGGAAAATTGAAGACCAGTGGAAATGTGGCTGATCCCTACCCATTCAAAGATCCAACAACAGGAAATTATGTCCTTGGACCTGTTGGAGCACGATCAAATAATATTTTTACGATGGCCGTTCAGACAATTTGGCTGCGTGAACATAATAGATTATGTGATGATCTCTATGAAAAAAATAACACGTGGACTGATGATCAATATTTTGAAGAGGCTGTAAGTTTATTTAAAAAGTGTCGTAGGACTTTTTTTTAGCTTTTCTAATAATAAAATTTTTTTAATTAATTAGAGGAAATGGAATATTGCAATATATCAAAAAGTTGTTACGGAAGAATACCTTGGTGTCATACTGGGTAAACAACTGCCACCATATCAAAAATACGACCCAGATCTAACTCCTGGGATTGATGTTTTTTTTTCAACAGTAACATTCAAATATGGTCATAGTGAATTGAGTGATTTTTTTCGAATTCAAGATGAATATGGTAGCACGATCATGGAATTACCATTACAAAATGTTACAGATACGAGTTTACTGGAAAAATTTGGTGTAGCAAGATTGTTGATATCATTGTCTTTACAATATCAAGAAGAATCTGATGTATATTATTCTGATGCAACAAGAAATATTAATTCACCTGAACCAAACACTTATGATCTTGCAGCATTTGATGTTTTAAGGGCTAGGGATAGAGGTATGAATTGGCGTGCGTGTATGCGTGTGTTTATATATATATATGGGATAATGTTAAAAAATAATTTATTATAGGAATTGGATTATATAATGACGTTCGTCAGGCATACGGTTTAAGTAGGAAAGATTCGTGGGAAAGCATAACTTCAGTTAAGGAAATACAGGATTATCTAAATCAATTGTATCCTAATGGTCCTAATCAATTAGAAGCTTCGGTTGGAATAAAGGTTGAAGATAATTTAAGTAATTCAAACTTTGGCGAACTGATGAATGCTAGTATGGTCACCCAAGTAAATGATTATATTTGATTTATCTTTATATTATTTATTATTATTGTTATTTTATTTATTTATTTAGTTATTTATTTATTTATTTATTTTATAGTTTATGGCTATTAGAGATTCAGATAGATTTTGGTGGGAGAACGAAGAGAATGGCTTGTTTACTGATCAAGAAAGATCCACTGAGCTTAGAAATAAAACAACATTTAGAGATATTATTATACGTAATTTAGATATTACTTTTCAAGAAGCAATCCCACAAAATATCTGGACAGTTCAACCACCACAGAAATTGCCTGATTCACCATCAAAATACTCTGGTCATATTGATTTATGGCCATCAGCATATGTTATTAGTTATGAAATTGTTGAAAATTATATTAATTTTCAAGTTCAAATACTAACTACAGGTGGTAATGCATGGTTTGGAATGGTAAGTTAATTATTTAGTCGTTGATGATGATGAATGTGATAAAATATCAACACCTCTATTTATTTAAACAATAAAATAGGGATTTGATCCTAATGACAAGGGTGGAATGATTGGTGCAGATTTCGTAATTGGAATTGTGAGTTATATATATATATATTTGAAAAATAATTGCTTTATGATCTTGTAAAAATTAAAAAAATGTAACTTTAAAACTTTTTTGCTTTTTAGATTTCTAATGGAAATCTATCATCTTTATCAAATTATCAATCCAATCCAACTGATTACAGACCTCCTATACCTTACGGTGATGATTCAGATTTAAAATTAATTAATTATACGCCTCCTGATAAGGATGATTTTGCAATTGTTGAATTCTCAAGATTATTAGTACCTAATGGGAAAAAAGGGATTACAAAAGGATATACAAAATGTAATTAATTTATTTATTTTCTGGCTGATAATTTTGCAAAAAAATGTTACAAGCTGATTTCTCTTGTTATTATTATTTTATTATTATTATTGTTACGCCCCCCTTCTTCTTCTAACAATAATGGTAACAAATTTATTTATTTTTAGATATTTTGGCTTATAACCCTACAAGTTCAATACTTTCATATCATCAAAATAATCGTCGAAGGACATTGGTTGATTTTTACAATAACCAAATTTCTTCATCTGTACCTGAAAATCAAAGATTAGTGAAATTAGCTCATGGTATTGGAATGTTATTAAGTTGGTGGTAGGATATTGATATTAATTAAATATATATATATTAAATATTGAGATATTTGCCTCATATCATAAAAAATTATTAATTTTCATTTTATTTCCATCTCCACATCCATTCCATAATAGTGTTATATTTCCTGCTTCTATTTTTATTGTAAGATATTACAAACATACAAATAGTTACATCAATATACATCGATTTCTACAATTGTTTGCTACCATTTGTATTTGTGGTTTTGGTGCAGCAGCTATTGCATCAACAATTAATCCAAGCTCAATCCATGCATGGCTTGGAACATCAGTGTTTGGTTTGTTATTTATTGAACTTGGATCAGGTCTAATATCAATTTGGGGTCAAGTGGCAATAGTCTCAGTTAACCAGGGATATCCTAGACTTCTTAAAAGAATTCACAGATTTTTTGGATTTTCTTTATTGGCATCTGCCTGGACAAGTGTGTATTTTGGAATTGATATATATTGTTTACTTTATGGATTTGAATCATATTATTATAAAATTGCATATCTTATATGGATTGGTATAGTAATAGCAACATTTATATTTGGTGAATATTGGTGGAATTGGAAAGGAACTCTTAGATGGAAATACACCCTGTCAAATTTTGAAAAAGAAAATCAAAAGAAAAATAATAAAAAATCTCTGTTTTTATTGCATATTCCCAAAGAAGATTATGATAAACTACCAGAATTTACATGGAATGAAGTTAATGAGCGTGTTCAACATGGTGCATATTTAGTAGTTTGTGATGGGTTTATTGTTAACATGAGAAAATGGATTAGGGTGCATCCTGGTGGAGCAAAAATTCTTGAACGTGTCATAGGAACAGATATAACAAATGATTTTTTTGGTTATAAGGGTAAAGATATCATTGAGTTTATTGATTTACCAGAAATAAAATCTGTTCCAACTGGCTATTCGCCATCAATATTAGGGCAATACTCTGATATTTTACTTGAGAGAACCAAAAAATACACAACTGGAAAAAATTCTGTTGCACAAGTTGTTGATGATATGAATGTTAAATATTTCTTAAAGGCTCCTTTGGCTATACACCCACATAGTTTGTTTGCAATTAAGAAAATAGCAACAATGATTGTGGCAAAATTAAAAGAAAACCCAACTGTTGAATCACAACCTGCACCAATATTTGGTCCAACAAATGTAGCTGATGGAGGAGGATTAAGTGATGAGGAAATGGCTAAACAAGACACAGCATTTAGAGTAAAGTTTCGCAGATACAAACTGACAAGTAAAGTGCCTATCAATGGCAGCAATAAATTTCCAGTGATGAAATTCACACTCACAATAGTGCATCAAAATGAAGGCGAAGCTTATAACAATCATCATCATAAATTGAAATTTTTGCCAGGACATTATATTGAAGTGCAATCAAGAATTAAAGGTCAAGTGGTAATCAGAAGCTATACACCAATAGAAGGTAACATCGCTAAAAGTTTTAGCATTTTTGTTAAAGTGTATCCAGATGGATTAATGTCAAAACATTTGGTAAGATTTTGAAATAATTAATAATCATATATGCTATATTTATAGTTATTAGTTATTAATTAATATTACTTGACAATCATACTTTAGAGTGAACAATTAAAAGGATATGAGATTCAAGTGAGAGGACCATTTGATGTTGGAGACAGAAAAAATTTACAAACATCAATGTTATCCCAGGCTGTTGATTCAGCATCGCAACATAGAAAATCAAGCTCATCTGCAAAAACTATTCCATCATTCATATCTTCATCAACAAGTTCTTTACTTAATCCTAATACTCCAGATGGCCATTGGCATGAATTATTCATGATTTGCGGTGGCACTGGAATCACGCCAATGTTACAAGTAAGTTTTTTATTATATAATAATAATGTATCCATATTCATTGTTTTCATTATTTATACTTATTATTATTATTATTATAATGAAATTAGTTGATAACATATCATTTGGAATTATGTATGAGGCGTAGTCATGCATCAACAATACGTAATAAAAGAGTATCAATGCATTTGTTATATGGCAATCGTAAAATAGAGGATATAATTAATGGTGTAGAACTAGAAGAATATCGACTAAGTAGTAGGGACATGTTAACTATAACATATGCACTAAATGAACCACCTCAAGTTTGGTCAGGAAAAAATGGTAATATTGATAAAGAAATGATTTCAGATTGGTTAAGTAAATTTGTTGTCAATGATGAAACTAACAGCAACAATGATGATAACAACAACAACAACAATCATAATCATGATAATTATACAACAACTTTACCAAGTTCTCCTACTAGCCCTACCAGTCCTACTACTCCACAACCATTGAAAAATCATTCATCACATGGTGGTTCATTAACATCATCAACTAATAGAAATAAGAGGCCAAGTATTATAGACTTTACAAAAAATGACAATACAGCAAATACAACAAATTCACCAGTTAGTACAAGTCCACCACCATATGTTGATTCATTAAATAATGATGATAATGATGATAATGATAACCCACCACCACCAATGGTACCACATAATACAAGACCTAATAAATCACAATCACCACCACCAATTATAGTAAATAATAATAATAATCAGAGTAACTATTATAGAGCATCAATTAATTCTAAAAGTGGTTCACGTCAAAATTATCGTCAACATTATAGAGCAACATCAACATCATCAACATCATCACCACCAACATCACCAACATCACCAACATCACCAACATCACTGCAACAACGTCAACAATCACAAATCCAGGAATATTTAACAATGACACCACCTCCACAATCATCAACTCCCTTATCAATTAATAATTCAATAATTGATACAAGACCAGGTTTGTCATCTGTAAATGATGACAATTTTATTAGTAAAGGATATAGTAATAGCATTACTACTATTACTGCCAATAATAAGAAAAAGTCTAAACTTGATCCTAACAGTAAAATAATGGTTTGTGGACCAGCAGATATGATAAATGTTGTTGAGCAATCATTGAAAAATCTAGGTTATACTGAGGAAGATTTTATATTAATAACATAGGAAACCTTATTTATTTTTAATTATTTAATCCTATAGTGTTAAATGGTTTTTTTATTAATGACCTGTATTGAAAGGAAATTACAAAAACATATATGCAATTCTATATTAATATATTATTATTTCTTTGATGTTTCCTAATCACTTATGCTACAATTAAGGGCCCAGTACAATACATTGTTTCATCTGATTGATGATGGGCTTTGCCCATTAACACTTAGTAAACAAATTTCATTTGTATTGAGTTACTGCTTCCATTCATCTTTCTATAGAATGGTTTATATTTATTTATAATGTAATTAATCTTTATTTGATTTTGAGGTTTTTTATTTATTTTTTGTTTTTTTTTTGTTTTTATAGTTATGTCATTCCTTTCTTTCTTTCCATATCTGAAAAAAAGTCAGTTTGTTAAAAATGCTAAAAAATAAAAATTTTCTTTTTGAATATTCATAATAAAGTTGAGTTGGTTGATTGATATACATTATTAATAATAGTGATTGTGTGTATAAGAATTTAGATTCTGATATTATATTATATTGTTATAACATATAATTAATTAAACATTCAATAGTTTCTTCTATTTTAGATTTACATTTGATACATATATTGATTGGTAGATTTGAAATGGAAGTATATTTTGAGTTGAAAGACATCCAGAAATGTTCCCAAAATCCATTTATATATATATGCTTTTAGATTGTGTTATTCTCTTGGTGAATGATGTTAATTTAACATTAACAATATTCATCGCTTCTATGATGTGCGTGCTACTGTTGCCCACCCAAATTCGTTCAATAGTTTTTTTTCTAATCAAAAGTTTGCTTATAATCGCCGTTGAACTAACTCCTCCTTTAAAATAAATGTTGACCGATAAGTTTTACAGTTTATTACTCTAGCCCCAAAACCTACCTATCGGTTCAGTTAGATTTTCTTTGGACTGAAAACTGGTTGAACCCCAGGGACAATGATTTTCTGCGGCGAAACGAAACAAAATCTGTTGGCGGTCGTTATTATTATACCTTCTAGTCGCGTGTGACATATTAAAATCAAATTCGGTACCGAACGTTTGTTTAAAATATTAAACTTGAACTCTGAACTCCATTATCAAAATAAAATAAAATTGCTTCATTAAAGCTTTCTACATAAATTAACGGCTATTCAAAAATGGCATTATCTTTTCTCTTCAAGGCTGCGATTATTTTTCAATGTCTCTTTAAAAGACTTGTGAAGGTATAAATTTTCATATGTTCATTGCTTTATGTGGAGTTTTGATTAATGGTTTCTAGAGAGATTCGCTAAAAACGGTTTTATAAACTAGTTATATCAATAGTTACTTTACTATTCAACAACGCATTTTAAAATGAAAGAACCAAGTATATTGAAAACAATAATAATTGTAATACTGTTTTTCATATGATAATGGTATTATTGTTATTGTTATTAAAGAACTGGTTTTCCGGTTTATATTACTATTGACATTTGAATTATATTATAAATTTTTTTTTTTTCGATGTCATCGTAATGTTATTTTTTATTGGTTATTTCAAATAAATTTGAATTATATTAATATATTTTGTGGGTAGGTCTACATGCGGAAATTAAAATATGTAGGTCATTAACAAATTGGACGAAACTCAGAGGAACTTTATTATTAATAAAAGTCCAAACTAAATTCCGTCAGGAAAATTTATTTTTGCTCAGTAGAGAACTATATTATTAGTACCATTATACCGGTAGGGAGAGATTCAGTATGGTATAACTCTTGCAGAACGTATGGTATGGTATGGTATAGCCCATATTTTTCCAT